AAAATAATTATGCAAATGAGGCGCGTGCCACCTAGGTGCATGGCCTTTTTATTGCATATTTAATTATGACTGCATTTTTGCATGCTTGAATAGTTATTTATAACTGGATTCCTGCATATTAAACGAGATGAATGACTTAACAGCCGGTGGCGTCAGGTGCACATGCATGACCCCGGAAGTGCACATGGTATATAAATGACTAAATGCAATGATTCAGATGAATGAATGAATAATTGCACATATGAGGTCACGACATAGGAAGGTCATCCAGATGCAAGAGCGCACACCTAAGCCGGTTTGTTTTTGTTTGTTATTGCACGAAAGCTTTTTTTTTACCTGTTATTGTTATAATAGAATAGTGGTTATTTTCAAGTGTAAGAAGAAAATATGTACATACATGTGTACATGTTTTAAAGCTTTTTTTTATTGAGAAAGAAAAATCAAGTTCAAGAATAAGAACTCAGGTGTGGTATGTTAAGATTAATTTTTATTTTTCTAATAAAAATGAAATACAAATAAAATGACACGATTTATGTAAATTTGTCTACTGGTGCAAATAATATTTCAGAAGAAAAATTAAATTGTACAATATAAATTGAAGACGTGGGGGCAAAAACGAGATAACTAACAATTTTTAAATTTTTCAGGAGAGACAAAAAACTATTTTAAAAAGTAACCCATAATATTTATTGGAAAATGTGTCAATATATTTTGAAATGCTAATAAAACTCAATATTTTTTATAACGAAAAGATAAATAAATCGTTTATTCAAACATAAAAAAACAAAAACAAAAAAATCCATTGTCTGGTTCTTGCACAAAAATTAAAAATTTGAGGTGACATACTAATAAAATGTTAATCAAATTCATTTTTAATCGCCAAATTCACTAGATGTGGATTGAGCAGAAGATTTTAAATTTAAATAAAATTCCATATCATCTCGGGGAACATATTTTTCTGCTAATTGCATCACATCTGTGTACTTCTTTGAGTTGATTGGCAAGGTTTCTTCACGTAATAGTAGCGGTGAAAATGGGTTTCCATTAATGTTAACTAGTTTTGCTAGCTGGAAGTAAATAGCATCTGCACCAGAATGGCTAATAGAAGCTGTAACACCACGAGGTTCCTTTTTGGAATAAGCAAAAACTCTATATTTAGAAATAGTCCATTTTTCTTTTTTATCTGCTCTATACACTTTATTGTAATACATATCCAAAGTCGATTTAAAATCGTACAAATCGTTTATCTTCACATTGATTACTTTAAATTTTGTGGAACACTTTGCCACCATAGTTTGCCAATGCGAAGGTAAATACAGTCTTTCAACTTTCCGCTTTTGTTTTTCTATCACTCCGAAAGATCGATCGCAAGGCATATAGCTATGACCCGGTTCTGGCAAATGGTGAACTACACGATCTAGTTGACCAAATCTTACGAGTGAGTTCAAATATTGAACCATAACATTGTTTTTATTTTGTGCGCTGCAGTTATCCGAAAAAATGTAAAGTTCTTTTACGTTTTTTCCTAGAATATTATTTACAAAATGATGCAGACAGCTTATTACTTCATTTTGACCTTTTCTGCCGATGGTTTCGTCGTACATATACATATGACTAGTAGAGTTGCTGCATTGGTAAATACAAAAATTAAATACCCATAGTTGCCTTTTATAAAATACGTCACTTGATGGCACATGAGGTAAAGGCATATTTTGTTGAAAATCAAAGGTAATGCATTCTATTGTTGTGTCAGTTTTAGATTTATCAGCCTTATCTTTAAGATCAGTGTAGAATGCTTTGGCTTTCTTTTCATGCAAGTCTAGTTCCAATTTAAAATTTTTTTTCTCATCCTCTATTTTACAGCCTTCAATATTTTTAGCCAATTGGTCACACTTTGAACAAGTATCTGATTTTGGTGTAGCAAAAGAAAGTTTGAAATTCTTTAAGAAAAAATTTCTATAAAAGTGATATGACACTAAAGGTTTTATAGTCTTATCTGTCAATAGTTTGTTGAAAACAGATCCTTCAAATTTTTCCAAGTAAAGTTCATACATCTTTTTCATATTTAATTCTGAACTTAAATATTTGCAATCAGAATGACTGTAATGCGCAGATCGGCAAGGGAAACTTTGTATATGCTTTCGAATTTGTTCGATAATATTTTCAGGAATTTTGTTAGGTCTATGAGCATGACGACCTCGCATATCAACTGGAAATGTTACATTTTTGCCAATAAAAGATGCTAAACGTTCAGTTCGACTCTTATTTATACCATGTACAGCACAAAATGTTTTTTTACATACCTGAACGATGGTTAATGATGTTGTTTTAACATAATATTTATTCGACTGTTTCCTAACAGGTCCAGTTTTTAAACAACTTCGTTTTATTTCTTCAGCTTTCATTAACCCGCAAAGATAAGCGTCTTGTTTTTCTTTATCACCTATTTTATTGAATTCTTGGAAAATTAATTTTCTATCACTCTCATTTAACGTAGTACAGCATTTTAAACGATATTTTGCTTCTTCACAAAAATTTCCCATCATACGTTTAGAAACAGTATTCCCTTTGTAGTTAACATATGCCTTGCCTTCTGCTTTCTTTCTCTTTCTAATATTTCTTTGCCATTGCTTCTTATTACGTATTTTTCTTTTGCCTTATAAATATTATTAAATCTAGTATTAGTATCATTAAGTCTAGTATTCAACACTGTTTCAAATAGTTCAATAAAATAAATACTTTACCTTTCTGCACCTGTAAATTAGATAATATATCACTTTCCTCTGATGATTTAGAGGGCTCATATTCAGATTCTGAAACACTAAAATCGTCAAGTTCACTCATAATCTATGTTCATACATTAAAAACATAACACAAAACCAACATTAGATGTTATTACATCGAAAAACCACCTGCAACTGATCATTTACTACAAAAACATTATTAAGAATATGTTTCAAAACAGACAACGCAAAAACATGTAGTGACATGTCTTTAGTGTATAAATAAGACAATTGCACATTTTATCTGGTTTTTGCAGTAAAAGTATTAGGCAGACAACTACAAAATTGATAGAAAACATGTAAGAATTCACATTTTATGTCTGGTTTTAGCTTAGAACGATGGGTTATTTTATTTTTATTCTAAATAATCGAAAAAAGCAATTGCGCTAAATTCGTAGTTATCTGGTTTTTGCCCCCACGTCTTCAATTTCCAATTCAATCAAGGAAGTCGAGATTTGCAAAATGTATAAAATACTATTGCAAATAAATTATTAATAGAGTTCTTACTACTTTGTGTGATGCAAATTATATACATTAAATAAATAATAAAAATAAAACAAAATTTACAATATATCATTTTTATTTATTAAGTTATTTTTTTATTTCAAAATAGACATTTTATATTATTCTTTGTATACTTTTTTTATATCAAAACGGAAAAGAACTATAATTTTCAAAAAATTTCCGTTTTTCTGACACTTGCCTGTATGTTTTTATTTGTGGAGCTGTTATAACGTTGTGTTGATTATTTCTTACGAAATTTGAAGTTATAATTTTGACACCTTCCTTATCATTATTTAAAACAAGATCTTTAATTTTTTCAAAGTTAATAATTTCAGAATTTTCGTAAGTCATTTTTATTCCTTTAACTTTACATGTTGCTACCTGACTTTGACTTTTTGTTGAATACACTGCGTACTCGTAATTTTTTGGTCCTCCAGAAGCAAATTCAGTTATAAAACTACCATCGCCATATGACGTGAGCTCATCTGTCATGTCCCCGATGAAGTTACCTAACCGTGGTTCGTATTCACCTTCTTTTGAAATAAATATAATAGAATCAGTATCGTAATACAACACTCGGTTTTCCAGCTTTTCTAAATAACTATAGAGCTTCAATCGTGCTTGTGCAGTGGTGTAGCTTGCTACGCATACATTTACAGTTTTCAATGGTTTTATTTCATCATGCTCAAACTTCCAATTAACAACCAAAGTCTCATCGTTTATAATCAATATATGATGAACTTCTTTGTTTGGATCAGTCATTAGTGTATAAAATACATGTTTTAAAGCTTTTTTTTTATTGAGAAAGAAAAATCAAGTTCAAGAATAAGAACTCAGGTGTGGTATGTTAAGATTAATTTTTATTTTTCTAATAAAAATGAAATACAAATAAAATGACACGATTTATGTAAATTTGTCTACTGGTGCAAATAATATTTCAGAAGAAAAATTAAATTGTACAATGTAAATTTCCAATTCAATCAAGGAAGTCGAGATTTGCAAAATGTATAAAATACTATTGCAAATAAATTATTAATAGAGTTCTTACTACTTTGTGTGATGCAAATTATATACATTAAATAAATAATAAAAATAAAACAAAATTTACAATATATCATTTTTATTTATTAAGTTATTTTTTTATTTCAAAATAGACATTTTATATTCTTTGTATACTTTTTTTATATCCAAACGGAAAAGAACTATAATTTTCAAAAAATTTCCGTTTTTCTGACACTTGCCTGTATGTTTTTATTTGTGGAGCTGTTATAACGTTGTGTTGATTATTTCTTACGAAATTTGAAGTTATAATTTTGACACCTTCCTTATCATTATTTAAAACAAGATCTTTAATTTTTTCAAAGTTAATAATTTCAGAATTTTCGTAAGTCATTTTTATTCCTTTAACTTTACATGTTGCTACCTGACTTTGACTTTTTGTTGAATACACTGCGTACCCGTAATTTTTTGGTCCTCCAGAAGCAAATTCAGTTATAAAACTACCATCGCCATATGACGTGAGCTCATCTGTCATGTCCCCGATGAAGTTACCTAACGGTGGTTCGTATTCACCTTCTTTTGAAATAAATATAATAGAATCAGTATCGTAATACAACACTCGGTTTTCCAGCTTTTCTAAATAACTATAGAGCTTCAATCGTGCTTGTGCAGTGGTGTAGCTTGCTACGCATACATTTACAGTTTTCAATGGTTTTATTCATCATGCTTAAACTTCCAATTAACAACCAAAGTCTCATCGTTTATAATCAATATATGATGAACTTCCTTGTTTGGATCAGTCATTAGTGTATAAAAATTAGCTGGAGTCTTAATTATTTCTGTCTGTGTTTGGTTTTCTTTTTGTCCAAATTTACCCCAAAATGAATTTAATATAAGTTTTGCAACTGATCTTTTTCCAGGATTTGCACATATTTTATTTTCGTCTAATTTTATGTTTTCCCTTTCGAAGAAGTCTTCTATGTATTGCTGTTTCAATTCTTTATTAACACACGTTTTAGGCCAGTCTGATGATTCTTGTTTTATTTTTAAAAATTTATCCATTATATCAGTAAATAACCCAGGTTTAGATGAAGTTTTATCATATTGCTGGACTGAATATTTCCAAATCTCGTGAATTTCTATTATTTTGTATCCCTTTGTTAAAGCTTTCACCACTTCATCTATAACCCAAGTACCATTCAATGTCCTTTTGTTGTCAGCATGTGTACAATCGTCCATATTTTTTTCTTCACTACATGTAAAGCAAAGAGTAAAGATTAGTTTATTGTTTTGTTTTATTGGAAGTACTGGGATAAATAAGTCTGTTGGAGGAAGAATGGAGCACTTTATTAATCCGTCTGTAGTTTTCAAATTTTGTTTCATGCATTCATCGTTTCCAACAATAAACTCTGGGTGTCCGATGGGAAATTTACCATATTTACAAACATAAGGATAAAGAGAACAAACGTCAATATATTTAATTTTTTCATTTTCCATAGCTTTGTAGTAAGTAACTATATTTTCAGTTCGTCCACCAAAGAAAGAGTCCCGAGGATCAAGTTTAAGATTTATTAAAATAGGATGATCGTTTAAATAAAACATATCTGGGTTATCAATCAATTGTTCTCTAAATTCGCACTCCCATTTTTCAATGACTTCATAAACAAATAAACGCAGTCGGGCTGACTTTGAAATTGTAGCTTCATATCTTGAATTTAGCTTTGATCACTTTCCAAAAACACTTTGGATGTCCATGATAGTAGCATCCATGAAATTCAAAAACTTGATTGGTCTCTTCACAAAATCCATCTACTTTTAAATTATTTATGATAGCTTCTTTTTGTTTACCGGCATGTTGGATATTAATTTTTCGCTGGTCTTCTTCCCAAATTAACCATTGTAAAGCTATTTTTGATTGGATATCTGTAAATCTATATCCATTTTTTGGTATTAGTCCTATTGTTTCAGCTTTAAGAAAGTTCCGTCGAAAAATCAAATTGCAAGTTGATGCAATGGTTGTAGCCTCAGTAAACGGACATACATTGTTATCTTTTAGCATAATATTTCTAAACTTTAAACAAGCTTTCGTTAAAATAATTACGTCGTTTTTACAGTATTCTACAATCTCCTTTCGCATGTTAAATTCGGTATTTTTATTTTCATCGTACCATTTAAAGAAAATTAATCGTTCTGGTTTTGACATTAAGTTTGGATTGTAGTATTCATGTGGTGGTAATGGTCCAACGTATTCTTTGTTTTTTTCTGTATTGAATAAGTGAGGAAAATATCCTTTCTTTAAATTAACAAAATTATCTATGTTAGGTTTTTGTTTGTTAACTGTAATGTAGCAAACATGATTTTGTTCTACTTGTTTTAGGCAATTCTTGCATACTTTTGTGTTGCATTTATGTGTTCCATATTTAGTAGAATAATTCTTAAAGCATGTTAAGCATTTACGCAAATTTATACAAATATTTTTAGTTACATGATTTTCAAAACATCTTAAACCTTTAAATGTCCGTTTACATGTTAAACAGGATATATTTTCAATAACGTTTTTGCAAGCAGGTGATTGCTGACAACATTTACAGCGTCCTCCACACATATGTCTATCTATAGTGTTATATCCGATATTACATTTTTCACAATAATAAGTTCTACAAAAAGCTGAGGTAAGAGAGGTAATGACGTTGTAATGCCTATTATAATAAAGAAGATTTATTCGTTTGCCCTCAGTTTTTCCTTCAAATATTATATTTTTGTTGTTGCTATAGTCATAAACCACTATGTTGTATTTATCACCAAAGTAATCTTGAATTTTCTTCAATTCAGGTATTCCAGAGCCACTTTCTTTGATATTTAAATTAGTATCTTTGGCAAGTGTTAAAGCCAATTGTTTTTGAATTTTTTTGACGTCCATGCAAATTTTTTTATAATTGGGCTCTTTGTCAACAAAAGCTTTTCCTACCATAATAGCACGTGGTAGGCAAAGACTGTCTTTATTTTTTATGGTAGCAATGCCTTTTCGTTTTAGACATTCTTCTTCAAAAGTAAGATATTTTTTTACCCTTCCTTTTCCTGAAGGTAAGCGAACAGTTGTAATTGTTATTTCGAAAGAATCAGGGTTAATTCCTTCTGTATTGCTTTGAAATATTTTGAATATCAGTTCCCAGATATCGTCAAACTTTACTTCACTTGCCTCTTTAAAGTTCATCCATCCTGGTATACGCTCTTGAAAGTTGTTGCCGTAAAACGTTATCCCAATTAGGTCCGTTGGAAGAACGTTTTTTACTGCATATTCAATTACTTCATTGACTCCTTCTTTGATTTTTAACAAACAATCTTCTTCTTCTGGTGAAGCTTTTAATTTGAAAATAACTTTGTTTGCCGTTACACCAAATTTTTTGATATATTGAGTTTTTTCAGCAATTATATCAAATTTTGGGGTGTTTTCTTTTAAAAATTTATTTAACATCATTTTTTTTGCCATGTTGTTAGTTACTTTAAAGTTATAATTATTCTAATAATATTTTAAAACATTATCAATTTTATATGTTAAAAAATACTTTGTGGAATGCGGATCTTGTTTATATTTTTATTAATCTAGATAACTGCAGCTATAATTGCAAGATCAGGTGTTTCCATTTTTATAAAATTTACATAAAAAATTAAAACACAATTAAAAATTCTTAGTATAACACTTTTTTGGAATGCGGATCCTTGTCTTATAAAACATTATCAATTTATATATGGTTCTCTGTGAAGTGGAGAGTCCGGACGATAATTCTCGGTGCACCATATTCATGCCGGACAGGTTTTCAAAAAAAGTAAGAAATCAAGAAGAATTAGATTACTTGAATACCAACCCTATGAACATCAAGTATATTGGTCGAGACGCCGACCGATGGAATATGCTTTTATTCGAGCTTATTCCTGTACTGCACTGTACTGAACAAAAACCAGCAAAAATACGAAAAGTTTAAATAAAAACAAAAAAAATAAAAATGTTTTTTTCTTTGCCATTGTTAAATTACAGCATTCTTCTTCTTTCATATGACTACAAAAAAGGCGCCGCCTCGGGCCGAGCGGCGTACGCGCGTAAGCGATGCGAGCCGGAAGGAACCTGGCCGCTTAAGTTTTAGCCTTCTAGCCGCTCAAGTTTTCACCCTCTGGCCACTTAAGGCCCGGCTCGCATCGCTTACGCGCGTACGCCGCTCGGCCCGAGGCGGCGCCTTTTTTGTAGTCATATGAAAGAAGAAGAATGCTGTAATTTAACAATGGCAAAGAAAAAAACATTTTTATTTTTTTTGTTTTTATTTAAACTTTTCGTATTTTTGCTGGTTTTTGTTCAGTACAGTGCAGTACAGGAATAAGCTCGAATAAAAGCATATTCCATCGGTCGGCGTCTCGACCAATATACTTGATGTTCATAGGGTTGGTATTCAAGTAATCTAATTCTTCTTGATTTCTTACTTTTTTTGAAAACCTGTCCGGCATGAATATGGTGCACCGAGAATTATCGTCCGGACTCTCCACTTCACAGAGAACCATATATAAATTGATAATGTTTTATAAGACAAGGATCCGCATTCCAAAAAAGTGTTATACTAAGAATTTTTAATTGTGTTTTAATTTTTTATGTAAATTTTATAAAAATGGAAACACCTGATCTTGCAATTATAGCTGCAGTTATCTAGATTAATAAAAATATAAACAAGATCCGCATTCCACAAAGTATTTTTTAACATATAAAATTGATAATGTTTTAAAATATTATTAGAATAATTATAACTTTAAAGTAACTAACAACATGGCAAAAAAAATGATGTTAAATAAATTTTTAAAAGAAAACACCCCAAAATTTGATATAATTGCTGAAAAAACTCAATATATCAAAAAATTTGGTGTAACGGCAAACAAAGTTATTTTCAAATTAAAAGCTTCACCAGAAGAAGAAGATTGTTTGTTAAAAATCAAAGAAGGAGTCAATGAAGTAATTGAATATGCAGTAAAAAACGTTCTTCCAACGGACCTAATTGGGATAACGTTTTACGGCAACAACTTTCAATAGCGTATACCAGGATGGATGAACTTTAAAGAGGCAAGTGAAGTAAAGTTTGACGATATCTGGGAACTGATATTCAAAATATTTCAAAGCAATACAGAAGGAATTAACCCTGATTCTTTCGAAATAACAATTACAACTGTTCGCTTACCTTCAGGAAAAGGAAGGGTAAAAAAATATCTTACTTTTGAAGAAGAATGTCTAAAACGAAAAGGCATTGTTACCATAAAAAATAAAGACAGTCTTTGCCTACCACGTGCTATTATGGTAGGAAAAGCTTTTGTTGACAAAGAGCCCAATTATAAAAAAATTTGCATGGACGTCAAAAAAATTCAAAAACAATTGGCTTTAACACTTGTCAAGGATACTAATTTAAATATCAAAGAAAGTGGCTCTGGAATACCTGAATTGAAGAAAATTCAAGATTACTTTGGTGATAAATACAACATAGTGGTTTATGACTATAGCAACAACAAAAATATAATATTTGAAGGAAAAACTGAGGGCAAACGAATAAATCTTCTTTATTATAATAGGCATTACAACGTCATTACCTCTCTTACCTCAGCTTTTTGTAGAACTTATTATTGTGAAAAATGTAATATCGGATATAACACTATAGATAGACATATGTGTGGAGGACGCTGTAAATGTTGTCAGCAATCACCTGCTTGCAAAAACGTTATTGAAAATATATCCTGTTTAACATGTAAACGGACATTTAAAGGTTTAAGATGTTTTGAAAATCATGTAACTAAAAATATTTGTATAAATTTGCGTAAATGCTTAACATGCTTTAAGAATTATTCTACTAAATATGGAACACATAAATGCAACACAAAAGTATGCAAGAATTGCCTAAAACAAGTAGAACAAAATCATGTTTGCTACATTACAGTTAACAAACAAAAACCTAACATAGATAATTTTGTTAATTTAAAGAAAGGATATTTTCCTCACTTATTCAATACAGAAAAAAACAAAGAATACGTTGGACCATTACCACCACATGAATACTACAATCCAAACTTAATGTCAAAACCAGAACGATTAATTTTCTTTAAATGGTACGATGAAAATAAAAATACCGAATTTAACATGCGAAAGGAGATTGTAGAATACTGTAAAAACGACGTAATTATTTTAACGAAAGCTTGTTTAAAGTTTAGAAATATTATGCTAAAAGATAACAATGTATGTCCGTTTACTGAGGCTACAACCATTGCATCAACTTGCAATTTGATTTTTCGACGGAACTTTCTTAAAGCTGAAACAATAGGACTAATACCAAAAAATGGATATAGATTTACAGATATCCAATCAAAAATAGCTTTACAATGGTTAATTTGGGAAGAAGACCAGCGAAAAATTAATATCCAACATGCCGGTAAACAAAAAGAAGCTATCATAAATAATTTAAAAGTAGATGGATTTTGTGAAGAGACCAATCAAGTTTTTGAATTTCATGGATGCTACTATCATGGACATCCAAAGTGTTTTTCTTACAGGCATGACGAACCATTAGAAAAAAACGCAACAGACACGCTAAATTCAAGATATGAAGCTACAATTTCAAAGTCAGCCCGACTGCGTTTATTTGTTTATGAAGTCATTGAAAAATGGGAGTGCGAATTTAGAGAACAATTGATTGATAACCCAGATATGTTTTATTTAAACGATCATCCTATTTTAATAAATCTTCCACTTGATCCTCGGGACTCTTTCTTTGGTGGACGAACTGAAAATATAGTTACTTACTACAAAGCTATGGAAAATGAAAAAATTAAATATATTGACGTTTGTTCTCTTTATCCTTATGTTTGTAAATATGGTAAATTTCCCATCGGACACCCAGAGATTATTGTTGGAAACGATGAATGCATGAAACAAAATTTGAAAACTACAGACGGATTAATAAAGTGCTCCATTCTTCCTCCAACAGACTTATTTATCCCAGTACTTCCAATAAAACAAAACAATAAACTAATCTTTACTCTTTGCTTTACATGTAGTGAAGAAAAAAATATGGACGATTGTACACATGCTGACAACAAAAGGACATTGAATGGTACTTGGGTTATAGATGAAGTGGTGAAAGCTTTAACAAAGGGATACAAAATAATAGAAATTCACGAGATTTGGAAATATTCAGTCCAGCAATATGATAAAACTTCATCTAAACCTGGGTTATTTACTGATATAATGGATAAATTTTTAAAAATAAAACAAGAATCATCAGACTGGCCTAAAACGTGTGTTAATAAAGAATTGAAACAGCAATACATAGAAGACTTCTTCGAAAGGGAAAACATAAAATTAGACGAAAATAAAATATGTGCAAATCCTGGAAAAAGATCAGTTGCAAAACTTATATTAAATTCATTTTGGGGTAAATTTGGACAAAAAGAAAACCAAACACAGACAGAAATAATTAAGACTCCAGCTAATTTTTATACACTAATGACTGATCCAAACAAGGAAGTTCATCATATATTGATTATAAACGATGAGACTTTGGTTGTTAATTGGAAGTTTAAGCA